ACTGACAACTAAAGAGACAGCTTTATTTATTTGTCAAATTACATAGAAACCAACGCCAACCCAGCACAATATTTTTTCTACTCGTAATAAATTCCTTGAAATAATAATTTCTGAATAATTTTTAAAACGTAACTCGCTATATATGGAAAAAAATATTGTTTTATACACGACGATGAAATTGCATTATCGTTACCTGAAATTAATTCACTGGTGATTTCATCCCTTGTGAATTAATCTTTACGGTCGACGATAAAATACCATTTTATCGTCTTGTATAAAAAATAACTATTTTTTAAACAAAGTTATATTTTTTCGCATTAAACCATAAAGAAAACCTAAAAAAGAATTAATATTTTTCTATGTAGTAAACATAGACAAGTTTAGGACTACTAAACTAGGAAAGGAATCTTGGGGAGAAAATTGCAAACAGGGTTGTATACTTTGACCGTTACTCTTTGACGTCATTCTGAATGTAGCACTAAACAGAGCATTTAAAGAGCCACTAGAGAAAGATATAGAGGAAATAATTTTGTTGAACTCTAGGTCAATGCAGCTATTCAATAGCAATGTAAAATCTATTTTGTTTTATGGATGCGAAACATGGAAGGGTACGCGTGGTCTCATAGGTAGCTTTTAGGCAAATTTGTTAACAAGTGTCTTCGAAGAATTTTCTAGCCCAATCAAATTCAAACAGGAACATCACAAAATCAAACAGGTAGATATCGAGATTAAGAAAAGATAATGGATGTGGATTGGGCACAGTTTGCGCAGACCTCACAGAGATATCGCAAAACTGGCACTTGAATGGAATCCACAGGGAAGACGTGACAGGGGAAGACCAAGGAATACCCGGAGAAGAACAATAACCTCTGAAGCCCAAGAGATTGGGAAAACATCGGGAGATATCAAGCAGATAACTCAGAATGGGATCAGATGGAAGCATCTCTTAGAAGTCCTATGTCCTACAAAGAAATGACTAAGTAATATAGGTTTATGTACAATATATGTCAACAAAGCAATAACTATTTTAAAACTATTTATTTAGGTTTCTGCAGTTACAAATAATTTTAATTTGTATTAGATATAATGTAGTGTAGGTAGGTACCTTATATGTTTTTGCCATGTACCTAGGTACCTACTAATGAATACCTTAAAGGAATGTCTTGTAATCTAAATATATATGGCTTGCCTAACACTATTAAACTGGTTTCAAACAACAAAAATATAGAACAAATACCTTTTCAGACCACTGAAATAGAAATCCATTCATATTGTATCATAATATAATCCTATAGAAAAGTTATTCAGTGATATATTAAAATAGGTTTGTCTAAAAAATAACTTTTCAAAAAAATAAATTCGGTCCTGCATAAAGAACACACATATGGTTCTGCTACTGGAACCACCGTTAGAGTTAATGACAGTATACCAACTCATGGCACACTAGATTTACAGTTTTGATTTTAATTAACTCTTTCATCAAAGCGTTTGTGGCATTAAATTGATTTTTTTTAATATCAAACAAAACCCAAGATGCATGTAATAACATTCTTTAAAGATACAGTCTCATAGACATAAGTAAACGAAGAATAGATGGAGAAAATATTTTTTGATACAACGTCACGGTTTCGTTAACGTCTCACAATGTTGTCACATTTAACAAAATTTGCCAATTGAATAAACAACCCAACATACACAAGCAAAATGTAAAGAAACCGTTTGTTTATTAACAGCGTTTCATTTGACCACAGACTTGATGTAATTCTTGTTTTAAGATTTGTCAAAGTCAAAAGAACTGCATAAATACAAATAGTTGCCAGACAAATAGTGTGGACAAACCCCTTCCCATGCGAACGGACAGCAACATTAAAATTTATAAGACCTGCATCAGACCTCAGACCAATAATGACATATGACATAGAAATCCGAGAGAAAACAAACAAGACCAAAAGCATGTTAAGAGTCGCTGAAATGAAGAACCTAAGAACCATAATAGGGAAGACTAGAAGAGACAGAATTAGAAACCCAACTATCAGACAACAATGTGGAATATAGGACGTAGTGAGATGGGGTAGGCAAAAAAAAAGACAATACCTACTACCACGCATAGCTCGTGAAGGGAAACCCATGGGTAAGATACAGCCGGGAAGACCTCTAAAAAGATGGAATGATAGTTGGCAGTCCATCCCCCAAGAACTTGTACAGAGGCAACCTTACAACTAACAGATCGACTATATCTCAAATAAGTAGAAGAAGAAGAAGATAAATACAAATTAGGTAAATGACATGAAATAAAATAAATTATCTATAGAAAAATTAAACAGAACGCTATGTATAGTATAGTAATAATGTACCTTACATCAAAGATATCTCTGCTTAACTAGTTGTAGAATAATTAAAATTTTACTGTTTTACTGCATTTTCATTATGATTACTTTCTTTTTGTCAATTTTGTTGCTCTGTCAACAGAGCATGTAGCAAAACAAAGGAACGCCGACTTTTACTCTTTTTTCCACTAAATAATTTTGTCGTTCTTTTGTTATATTTAATGAAGTATCAAAAAAGAAGAAAGTTTCATATAGTTCAAATTGTACCATACGACCGAAAAAAAAACGACGTCAAAGACGGTTGCGGAATGACAATCGACGATAATTTTGGCGAGGTCAAGCCCTGGACGTCATTTACTTAGCCCGCACTCTTCTTTCTTTTTTAATGGCGCTTACAGCCAGCTGGCCGTTGTAATTTGTTTTTATTTTATTTTTTTGAAATAGATTCGTGTTGATTAATCTGTCTCTAATTAGTATTAATTTCTGACAAGTTTTATGTAAATTTTTAGTAAATAAAAAAATAAAGCTTTATGGTACAAAAGCCAAAATAGCTTCATCGACTAAGCATTTAAAAACAAACAAAAGCAAAAAAAATATACAAATAATAAAAAATATCATACAATACAAATCATACAATTCAAAAAAAAAATACGTCCAATATAAATACATACATGTGCAGAGCACACAGTGTGTTTTTCAAAAATGTGCATTTTTAACAAATAGCTGTAACTTTTTTGCTATGGAAAATTTTGTATTTTTATGAAAACACTTCCAAAGCACCTTTTTACGTAGAATTTAATGGTTTAAGTATAATTTTTTTAAAATTAATAATTTAAGAGTTATCAACAGAAAAATTGATTTTTTATTTGGGACACCCTCTATAATTTTAATTAAATGAAAGAATTTAAAATTACCTTTCCAAAATATAGCACACTTGATGTTTGTTATAATCCTTCAATCTGAATTTAATGGAACTCCAGAAAACATATTTTTCCAACGAGACGACGCACCGCTGAACGCTGAAGTTATCAGCAAATTTTGCAGCGATCTGAATAATTGGATAGGTAACCAAGATCCCAGCCGTTGGCCGTCGAGGCCGCCTGACTTAGTGCCCATATATCTAATCCTATGGATATATTTGCGGAAGAATAAAGGTTCCTTATTCTTCCGTATAATCTAGACAAGAATTAAAAATACTTGGCAGTTATGAGAGGGTATCTTTCACCCCTACTGAGTTAATGAATTCCGCGAGAAATTTTCAAAAACTGTCCCGTCTGTCCATAACAGAAGAGGGTCGATATGTCGAACACCTGTAGTAAAATCTGATGTCTTGGTTTGCTACCGTATGATCGAGAAAAAACGGCGTCCAGTTGGCTGGGAAATGAAGATCGCTGTCATTTTATATGTAAATTTATATGGGAAATCTCATCGATCGTCATTTCCCAGCCAACTGGACGCCGTTTTTTTTCGATCATACGGTATTTATTTTTATCGTTAATAGATATAGTTTAAATGTGTTGATGTTGGTTAAATATATTTTAAATTGTTATAAAATTCTGCATCTCTCATAGCAAATATTATTTTCGTTTTAATTGATGCTCACAGCTAGAATTTTTTTGCATTACAGCCGCTGCCGTTCAAAGCCTACTTAATTAAAGGGGGAGAATTTTTATATACTCTATATCTCTAAGAGGAATCGAGCAAAATATCAAGTGTCTTATATTTTTGGAAAGGTAATTTTAAATTATTTTCAATAAATTAAAAATATACAGAATTGTCCCATGGATCCAAATCCTATGGATATATTTTGCGGAAGAATAGCAGTTCCTCTTTATTTTTCCCGTATAATTTAGACAAGGATTAGAAATAATTAGCAGTTAGTGAGAGTATATCTCTTCGTCACCCCTCACTGAGTTAATGAATTCCGCGAGAAATGTCCAAAAACTGCCCTGCTGTCTGTCCATAATATGAAGATTTGTCAACACCTGTGCGAAACTCAATCCGGTAGCAGATTATCCCTATGCTCTATTCACCATTATGTTTTTGACAAAAATTGAGCTCCAGACACCGATATCTGTTTTTGTCTATCTCTTATAGAAAAGGGTGTTTCCGTTTAAAAGCGTCGAATTTGGCCCACCCTGTACAGTATTGAGCCTTTAACTAGTTCTGAGCTCGGGGTTGGCAGATAAAGATTGTACTCCGCCATTCCTAAGTAGATAGTTGTGGGGTGGCCTTTCGGGAATAGCAGATATGTGCTTGCGGATTATGCAAACGTCTAGAGATTGACATCGTTAAAATTATCAACGAATGCTAATCCCCAGCCGTCTTTGCCGCCGTTTTTTTTTCGATTATATGGTATTTTAGTCGATTTTTAAATAAAAATGGTGTTCCAGCAGCAAAATAAAACACTAATTCACCACAATACACAAAAACACTTTACTTTTCTCCAATCACCTGCTGTTGATGCTAACGTGGTTAGCGAAACGCAAAACCTTTTTGGTGTATTGTGGTAAATTAGTGTCTTATTTTGCGAAAAATCTTGAATTTTTCTCGGTAAAATCACGAATTCCATCACACTACGTACATATGTTACGTACACGCTTAACCTTCACCTGTTACGAGTACCCAGTACCCACACCAAACATGGTACCCGCTTATATACGCGCTACTTACAAACTCCGCTATTTTCAACAATCCGGGCGTCGTCTTAAAGTAGTCGATGTTGATCTTAATCCAAGCCAGGGGTTGATCGGCCCCCTTGTTGGGGGCTGCGTTGTTATTTGGGGCTTCCTGCACCGTTACCACTGTCTCCGTCATCATTTAAAGCGAAAAAAAACTTTTTTTTCTCTACCGTAAAAACACCTGTTGTTTTAGATGCCAGTGGCGCGCGTATACTATCGATAATTTGCAGGAAAAATACTACTGCGGTGAACGTACGGTTAGGATAGCGCGGAGCGACTAGCAGGAAGGTGCGAGCGGAGATCTGATGGGGGGACACTTTTAACACAAACGCAGTTACCGCTTTGCCCACTATATACCTATATCTAGCGCTCTTTTTAGCCAATCTGTTGATGGTGTTTGGTGTGGAGACACTTTGTCGTGAATGACGAGACACGTCGAGAATGGCAAAAATAATTGATTATTAAGGACCCAGTCCAGGACAGTTTTCTCGTTACAATTCGGTTTTAGTATATTCTTTTGATGATAATAATGTTATTTAATAATGAATTTATATCCTCCAATTCAAGAATCATACTTCTTCAGCTAATGGTAAACTGATGATGGACATATGCCATCCAGTTGAAAAGGACCCAGTCCAGGAGAATTTTCTCGTTATAATTCGGTTTTAGTATATTCTTTTGATGATAATAATGTTATTTAATAATGAATTTATACCCTCCAATCCAAGAATCATACTTCTTCAGCTAATGGTAAGCTGCTGATGGACATATGCCATCCAGTACAAAAGGACCCAGTCCAGCACAGTTTTATCGTTATAATTAGTATATTTTTTTGATGATAATAATGCTATTTAAAAATTAATTTATACCCTCCAATCCCAGAATCACATTTCTTCAGCTAATGGTAAACTGCTGATGGACATATGCCATCCAGTTCAAAAGGACCCAGTCCAGGAGAGTTTTCTCATTATAATTCGGTTTTAGTATATTCTTTTGATGATAATAATGTTATTTAATAATGAATTTATACCCTCCAATCCAAGAATCATACTTCTTCAGCTAATGGTAAACTGCTGATGGACATATGTCAGCCAGTTCAAAAGGACCCAGTCCAGGAGAGTTTTCTCATTATAATTCGGTTTTAGTATATTCTTTTGATGATAATAATGTTATTTAGTAATGAATTTTTACCCTCCAATCCAAGAATCATACTTCTTCAGCTAATAGTAAACTGCTGATCGACATATGCCATCCAGTTCAAAAAGACCCAGTCCAAGACAGATTTCTCGTTACATTTCGGTTTCAGTTTATTCTTTTGATGATAATAATATTACTTAATAATGAATTTTTACCCTCCAATCCAAGAATCATACTTCTTCAGCTGATGGACATATGTCCAGCCATCAAAAAAAGACCTAGTCCAAGACAAAGTTTTCTCGTTACATTTCGGTTTTAGTTTATTCTTTGATGATAATAATGTTACTTAATAATGAATTTTACCCTCTAATCCAAGAATCATACTTCTTCAGCTAATGGTAAACTACTGATGGACACATACCATCGAGTTCAAAAAGACCCAGTCGAAGATTAAAGTTTTTCTCCATTACATTTCGGTTTTAGCTTATTTTTTGATGATACTAATGTTATTTAATAAATATTTATACCTCCAATCCAAGCACTGCTACTTACTTTCAGCTAATAAAGTAAACTGCTGATCGACATATGCCATCCAGTTGGAAAGGAGCCAGTCCAGGAGAGATTTCTTCGTTATAATCTGGTTTTAGTATATTCTTTTGATGATAATAATGTTATTTAATAAATGAATTTATACCCTCCAATCCAAGAATCATAATTCTTCAGCTATCGAACTCATTGATGGACATGCCATCCAGCCTCAAAAAAGGACCCAGTCCAGGAGAGTTTTCTCATTATACATCTGGGTTTTAGTATATTCTTTTGATGATAATAATGCTTATTTAATAATGAATTTATACCCTCCAATCCAAGAATCATACTTCTTCAGCTAATGGTAAACTGCTTTGGACATATGCTATCCAGTTCAAAAGGACCCAGTCCAGAGAGTTTTCCTATTATAAATTCGTTTTAGTATATTCTTTGATGATAATAATGTTATTTAATAATGAATTTATACCCTCCAATCCAAGAATCATACTTCTTCAGCTAATGGTAAACTGCTGATGGACATATGTCAGCTAGTTCAAAAGGACCCATCTATAGAGAGTTTTCTTCTCATTATAATTCGGTTTTAGTATATTCTTTTGATGATAATAATGTTACTTAATAATGAATTTTTACCCTCCAATCCAAGAATCATACTTCTTCAGCTAATGGTAAACTGCTGATGGACATATGCCATCCAGTTCAAAAAGACCCAGTCCAAGACAGTTTTCTCGTTACATTTCGGTTTTAGTTTATTCTTTTGATGATAATAATGTTACTTAATAATGAATTTTTACCCTCCAATCCAAGAATCATACTTCTTCAGCTGATGGACATATGCCATCCAGTTCAAAAAGACCCAGTCCAAGACAGTTTTCTCGTTACATTTCGGTTTTAGTTTATTCTTTTGATGATAATAATGTTACTTAATAATGAATTTTTACCCTCCAATCCAAGAATCATACTTCTTCAGCTAATGGTAAACTGCTGATGGACATATATGCCAACAGAGTTCAAAAGACCCAGTCAGAAGACTAAAGCCTCTAGTTACATTTCATTTTGAAGCCATTCTGTTGATACTAATGTTATTTAATAATGAGTTTATACCCTCCAATCCAAGAATCATACTTCTTCAGCTAATAGTAAACTGCTTTGATCGACATATGCCATCCAGTTCAAAAAGACCCAGTCCAAGATAGTTTCTCTCTCAAGCCACATTTCACTAGCTTTATTCTTTTTGATGATAATAATATTACTTAATAATGAATTTTACCCTCCAATCCAAGAATCATAATTCTTCAGCTGACATTTGGACACATGCCCTCCAGTTCAAAAAGACCCAGTCCAAGACAGTTTCTCTGTTACATTTCGGTTTAGTTTTGTTCTTTTGATGATACTAATGTTTCATTTAATAATGAGTTTAAGACCCCCAATCCAAGAATCATACTTCTTCAGCTAATGGTAAACTGCTGATGGACATATGCCATCCAGTTCTAAAAAGCCCAGTCCAAGACAGTTTTCTCGTTACATTTCGGTTTTAGTTTATTTTTTTGATGATAATAATGTTACTTAATAATGAATTTTTACCCTCCAATTCAAGAATCATACTTCTTCAGCTAATGGTAAACTGCTGATGGACATATGCCATCCAGTTCAAAAGGACCCAGTCCAGGAAAGTTTTCTCATTATATTTCGATGTTAATATATTCTTTTGGTGATAATAATGTTATTTAATAATTAATTTAAACCCTCCAACTCAAGAATCATACTTCTTCAGCTTATGGTAAACTGCTGATGGACATGTGGCGTCCAGTTCAAAAGGATCCAGCCCAGGGAAGTTTTCTCATTATATTTCGGTGTTAATATATTCTTTTGGTGATTATAATGTTATTTAATAATGAATTTAAACCCTCCAACTCAAGAATCATACTTCTTCAGCTTATGGTAAACTGCTGATGGACATATGCCATTCAGTTCAAAAAGACCCAGTCCAAGACAGTTTTTCTCGTTACAATCTTTAGGACTTAGTATATTCTTTGATGATAATAATGTTATTTAATAATGAATTTCTAGTACCTCCAAACAAGAATCATATTCTTCAGCTAATGGTAAACTGCTGATGGACATATGCTATCAGCTTAAAAGGTATGGACCAGTCCAGGACAGTTTTCTAGTTACAATTGGTTTTAGTTCTATTCTTTTTTGATGATAATATTTATGTGAATTTATACCTCGCAATCCAAGAATCATACTTCTTCAACATTAAGCTTGCTGATGGACATATGCCATCAGTTCAAAGGGCCAGTCCGACTGGTTTCTCGTTACATTTCGGTTTTGGTTTATTCTTTTGATGTTAATATTTTGCGCTTGCACTTATGTGATTTTTACCCTCCAAACCCAAGAATCATACTCTCTTCCATGGTGATGGACATATGCCATCCAGTTCAAAAAAAAGACCCAGTCCAGGAGAGTTTTCACTGCCATAACTGATTTTAGTTTATTCTGTTTTGATGATAATAATGTTATTTAATAATGAATTTTACCTCCAATCCAGAATCATACTTCTTCAGCTAATGTAAACTGCTGATGGACATATGCCATCCAGTTCAAAAAAGACCCAGTCCAAGACAGTTTCTCAGTTACATTTCGTTTTAGTTTATTTCTTTGATGATACACAAAATTGCCAATAATGAATTTTTACCCTCCAACTCAAGAATCATACTTCTCAAGTTGATGGACATATGTCCAGTTCAAAAAAGACTCCAGTCCTATTAGTTTTTCTCAAGTTATATTTCAGGGGTTTACAGTTTATTCTTTGATGAGTAATAATGTTACTTTAATAATGAATTTTACCCTCAATCTAAGAATCATACTTCTTCAGCTGATGGTAAACTGCTGATGGACATATCCAGTTCAAAAGACCCAGTCCAAGACAGCTTTCTCGTTACATTTCGGTTTTAGTTTATTCTTTTGATGATAATAATGTTACTTAATAATGAATTTTTACCCTCCAATCCAAGAATCATACTTCTTCAGCTAATGGTAAACTGCTGATGGACATATGCCATCCAGTTCAAAAAGACCCAATCCAAGACAGTTTTCTCGTTACATTTCGGTTTTAGTTTATTCTTTTGATGATACTAATGTTATTTAATAATGAGTTTATACCCTCCAATCCAAGAATCATACTTCTTCAGCTAATGGTAAACTGCTGATGGACATATGCCATCCAGTTGAAAAGGGCCCAGTCCAGGAGAGTTTTCTCGTTATAATTCGGTTTTAGTATATTCTTTTGATGATAATAATGTTATTTAATAATGAATTTATATTGAAATGAATTTAGGTTGTTTCTTAACTTAAATTTTGTTTTTTTCGTTTACATTTTTTTGGGGAAAATATGGGTTCAACTTTAGTAGATGAATGAAACAAAATCTTTTCAAAAGATATCAACTTCTTCGGGTATGTCGCCAATACCGCGCCTAATAAGGAGTAATAAGGATTTTTAGGAATATCTTTGTAACTCTGCAACTAGACAGAACGATGACCTGTATGTGTGTTATTACTAAATAAAATTTTACGAAACAATAATAAAGTCAGATTATACAGATTCCAACGCGGCAGTCGCTTAATTTTTAGTCAAATAAGTCAGCTTTTTAAAAGTGCTTCTATTGTAAAAACTAAGGATGCAGTTGAACATATCGTTAGATTTTTCTTTAAATGGGTAGATCGGTAGCTTACAGACGAAACCGGTAGACCTGGCAACTCTGTGATGAACTGACGGGAGACGGAATAGCGAATTGCGGAGGCGCGGGAAGGGAAATAAAATAATGGCGATAAATAAAGGGCAGAGGATGGGTATCATGAATGGATGGGAGGTGGCGGAATTTCCGAAATTTTTATCTTATTGGAGTTTGTCTAAGTAGACAGTCGTAGTGGAATTGGAAACGGGGAAGTTGTTGTCCATCTCTGTTTAAGCATAGCCTTTTTATAGGCGTTTCATTCCAATGCATGTAATGCCTATGCCTAGAGATCCATTGCCGGGCCTGTATATTCTAGGAGCTACAGATGCCCGACGCACTATTGCCGGACCCTGTATATTTTTTTAATAATATTAGGATAAATAAAACACACGTTCACAATTATCAGGAATTTTATTTTAATTCTAGATTATCATGCACATATACTTATTCGGTAAGTTTTGATAAAAAAGAGCTTTTACAACCCTTTTTTCCTATCGATAATAATTCAAATCTACCCTGTTTTTTAAGAATACTTGATTTTTTTTTCAATTGAAAAAGTTAAAATTCAAATTAATTCAATACAATGAAACCCAAAAAAGGAATATTTTATGATACATTGTGCGATCGAAGATATAAAATAGAGGATACCACATTTAATTCGTTTGAAATCATTTTATAATAATAGATTAACTATATACTAGACAAAATAACGATAATGTAATTAATAAATGAGAAATACAGTAATTTGATAATGAACAATCTGAATTTAAATGAAACAAATTATATAAAATATATACGAATATAAAAGTCTTATTTAAGCTTAAAAGTTACTAAGCTCGTTCAATATTCTCCGCGAACATCAAAAAATCTTATAAATACTGCGTTATCTACTTATCGTAATAGTCTAAGATCTAGCAACGTTTTCGAGAAAGTATTTTAAGGCGTCTGGCTCTTTGATCTATCTTTTACTCTCTGGAACAGCCTGCGGCCCGTCTGGCTGCCGATACCCGTTGCGTTCACTACTGCGCATCGGAAGAAGATCCTATATATTTTTTTTAATTTTAGTCCTATAAATTATAGTATTGAAAATAAATCGAACATGTCTCCATAGCGCAGTGCGTAGAGTTTCCGACCAGGAACCGAGGATTCAGAGTTCGAATCCGGGTCAGGGCAACGACTTTTTTATTTTATTTTCGTTTATATTCTGACAGTAAAGTATTAAATAATTGTAGTGATTCAAAAAAAAACAAAGATTTAATACTTTACTATCAGAATATAAACGAAAATAAAATAAAAAAGTCATGTTAGATTTATATTCAAACTAGAATTTAAAGGACTAATAAAAGTATAGGATCTTCTTTCAATGCGCAGTAGGGAACGTAACGTTTAGCGGGCCGCATGCTGTTCTAGAGAGCATAGTAAAAGATATATCAAAGAGCCAGACGTCTTAAAATACTTGTTTTTCCGACGTTGCTAGCTCTCGTACTATAGTTATTTAATAATAATAAAACTCTACTTCTACAAGTCTCCAAAAAAATATATATAAATGCAGGACAAAAAAAATAATTTATAGAATAATCACCTTTCAATAATTGCCACAATTTGCTGAATCAATGACAGCACACAAATTTGATGTTACTTTTAACATGAGCCACTCAGTATATTAACCTTCCAGTACTCGTATTTTAATACCCCAAACTATTGTTTGACATAGGCGAGGGAATGTCAAAATTATAAGCCGTGATCTCTATACCAAATAAACCTTTATTTGCGTAATCAAAGACATGATTACGCAACTGAAGGTTCGGATTCAGAAACCAAACGAGGGATCAACAAGATCTACTAAAGTACATTATCTTGAAACATTACATGTACAAAAAAGGTCCAAAACTGGCAAATGAAGGTATTATTTTGGTCCTAGACGTCATGAAATAATGGATTGCCCCAAGTGCATTGAATGCATATATAAAATCCATCAACAATGGCTTAGCAAATAAAACCAAGGCAGTTTCCGAATCCGAAAATTCAGACAATTAATATTTAGTTACAATTAACAAGTTTTTCAATATCTCCAATTTGTCAAAATTTAAATAAACGAGTATGCTTTACATAATTACTTGTATGGCATTTTGTTCATGTTTCTCATCAAAAACATGGAAAAAGGAGCAGTAACAAAAGGTCAAAGAAGTAAAACTACTACGTTTGGATAGAGCTAATAAAATAAATATAATGTCTCGTAAGTTTGAAGCAAATTGAAGGTTATAGAAGTGACACGTTTAAAATTTTATAACATATTATTTAAAATTGTTTACATACTTCTCAGTATCATTCAAGATTTTCACGCTTCAGCAATTCACTGCTCGATACTTTGATTTCACGGTGAAAATATCACAGATACCGATTTTTACTCTTTCCCTCAATATTGATACCTGTAGTATATTCTTTTATAACTATATGAGCAAAACAACGAGAAGTGTCACTTCTACAAACTTTTTTAGTTCGGCTATTCGACAATAGATGGCTCGACGTTCTAAAACGCGCTCGCATACGGAAGGAATTGATCAATATAAAATCGAATTTATTTTGACCAATTTTCCCAAAGTCAACCTGTAGAATAATTTCGAATTTGACATTGAAATGTCAAGATTAGAGGAATTATTTTAAAGATCGGTGTCGTACCAAGCCGCGACTTGGTCGTTAGACTCGGGCGGCGCTGGCAGCGCTTCCATGGTATCCATGTCCATGTCCATATTTATTTGTAGTTCGCTAAACAGGGCTGTAAAAACAAAATTATTATAGTTAGAGGAGTTAGATATACGTGAAGGTGGCTAAATTAACCCATAGTTGACAGGCAGTGTTGTCAACGGTAGCAGAATTGCGATACGGTTGGCAGCAGCTGCTACTATAGCTAAACGATTTGACAATATTGTTGCCACGTCTAGGAAAGTTTCCTTAGATTTAGGAAAAATAACGATTGTGAGGAAAGAAAAATGATGAAGAGAAATTTTAAAAAAATATTTTTAAACAAATTTTAGTGACAATTGATTGCATTAAAAATTTTACGAATTTCCTTCATCCACGTGGTTTCACTCGTTTATAGTTGACGGATAATTATAAGTTCCCCCTAAAGACAGCGACTATGGTCCTATCTAGTGGTATTATTGACAATATGACATTAGTTACTCTAGATTGTTAGAAGTTGGGGAATTTCTAAGTAATGAGGGGGGTCTAGGAAATTTTGAAGTAATGATTTAGGGAATTTGCAAAATTTCATTTGGAAAACCAGAATTAACCAAAAGTTAACTAGGATACGTCAATTTGACGAATTTCACTTAATTGTTTCAGCAGCGTATTTTTTTTACCGTATGATCGAAAAAAAAAACGGCAACCAGTTGGCATGTCAATGACGATCGATGACATTTCCCATATAAATTTACATATAAAATGACAGCGATTTTCATTCCATAGCCATCGCTGACGCCGTTTTTTTTTCGATCATGTAACAGTCAAATTTCCTCGCAACGACCTCTGTGTGCTAGCTCATAAATTATCGCAAATAACTATTGTTTTTGCATCATGTTTACTATAATTATTTTATTGTTAAATATTATTTTATTTAAATTTTACAATTATGCAACCCGATATACACCGCGCTATAGATACACAATATTGTTACTGGACCAGGCACACCAGCAGCAGTAGGCTTTTTGTCCATCTCTCTATATCTTTGATCATCACTTTTGTCCGTCACTGTCAGATCAAATCAGATGCTTTTGGATTTATTTATCCTTTGTTTTGGTTATTGAAATTTTATAATTATCAGATAAAATTTCGTAGTTAAATTGGTTATTTTTGATGTGGATCGCAGTGTGCAATTTGTTCATTTAATTGTGGAATTTCTGAGTTAAGTTCGTTCATTGACCGGATATGAAGTATGGCTGTCGGAAAATATTCTAGAACATAATTTTTTATTTATGCCTTTTTGTGAGTTGGACTAGTCAAGATATATAGTTCTCTATCTATATCCTGGAGGAGATTTCCGGTTGAAATCTGATTTTGTGAAGGAAATCGAATCCTTGCATCACTTCTTGTGTACTTCCCGACCGGGTATCATCGTGAAAGAGCTGGCTGCCGTTTCGTGAAGCATTCCCTGTTGGTGAATAGGTCTTCGTAGAGAAGAATTAAGGCTTCCGAAACATATTTGGTCAGAGACGTGGTTGGATTTTGTTGAGTTTACATGGACCACCGACCAATTTCCGTAAGGGATTAAATAAGCAAATTTTTCCGACCAATATCCCGATTCCACGTGCCCAAGAAGTCCCCGAATAGTTCCAAGGTATGCTATAATTCTTCTGCCTATTCTAAGTCAATGCTCAACTGATTTTTATTCGTATTGTTGACTGATTTTCGACTTTTCCACGCCCATGTGGTGTAGAAAGATTAGTTGAGTGTTATCTTTCTTAAGTCTTATTTGGTTGTTCGTAATTGTAGAGCAAGAAGACCGATCCAGACCGTACAGCACAGAACAGTCCAGAATTCCATCCTGTTGCCCGTGTAGAGGTACCCGTTGGACATCATAAACCCTCGTTGAGGTAAAGTTCAGATTTGATTAGTCCTTCTTTATTACCTTTATTAACTCCTACACGTTGTGCTAGTCTTTGTTCTATAATTGATGTTCTTTTCTAAGACGACCAATATTATTTAGGGTTTTTTATGTTCACCTTTTGAAGTCCTACACCTGGCCGGCATCCGTACGTCTGCTGACATCCGTGGGCTCCAGTGACAGTACACCGAGCTGCTTCCCTGCTGTAGCCATGTCATAGCTATACACGTAGCTCAGCCGGAGGAACTTCCGAGTTGTTTCAAGATTGTACATCGATTAGAGTATGACTGTTTAGATTTAGATTTGCTATTTATAAACCACCCTGACTGTATCTAGTATAAGTTAGCTAAGGGGTTTGACGTCATAGATTTAGTTATTTCTTATTGATTTAAATTCTGATTTAATTTATATTTTCAATCATCTACATTTCCTTCCTCTCTTTTATTTATATATTAACTTTTTAATATTTTAATAAATTACTTAATTATTTTTAGTAGTATTATTTACAGTCTAGTCTCACAGTTAAGTTAGAGTCACTTAAGTACAAATAGTTATAGAATATTTGAAGTTCATGATAGTTGCACTCAACAGTTCGAGGTTAGTGTTGAAGTCTACTTAATAGTTACATCTTTATTGCAGAGTTCATAGAGTATAATCTCGTGGCGCCCTTTTATTAATATCTTCGAACCCCGACCACCCGGCTGTTAAAATTAAAAAGCTAGTGGCCTCTATGCAACTCATTCAGATTAAGTAAACTTGTGTTTTATTGAACTTCAAATTAGAAAGGGCGTGGCAATCATACGGTATAATTTCTAATAAATACAAAAAAGGCATAGCACAAATTATGTAAAACAACAACATCTAAATAAATAAAAGTATGCAATAAAAAAGAAACGCATGCACTAAGTGCACATCCACATTCTAGCCGTTTCCCATTTAAATGATCAAAGTAGTTTTTATTTCTTTTTTAAGTAATAAGTTTTTTTTTAAATAATCCAGTTCAGCTTTTAAAAATCCCTTTGTACAGTGGATTCCAAAAAATTCACAAACAACTAGGAAATTTTTCTATTTAAATCAATTCATATTCATACTGTGAAAGCTATATAAGAAAATTATGATCATTTCAATGGGAATGACATACGCAATCTCTTACTGAGCGAAGTGAGGTTAGAATTCTGTTTAGCAGCCCTGAAAATAGTTATTGTACTACCTTTAAAAAGTTCCTATAATGTTATAAAGCATAATAATAAAGATGTATTAGATAAAATATTTTTTTTATTATTTTGTTGTTGCATAAAGACTTAAAAAGCAAACTAATATATTATTGTATTTGCTTCAATAGTTTTTTCCCCAAAGGATGTGCAAAATTATCAAAAAATATATCTTCTTAAATTGGACATCCCTATTTTTTGGTTAGTTTTTGCGACAATCTTTTTTGCTTTATTTTCGACTTGTATCTTACCTTGTTGCTGTTGATATGGCCTTCCGCCATGACTACTGTGAACGCTAGGCGGGTCCTGGGCGTACATATTATCGTAAGCCTGTTCAGGACTTAACATATCCTAAAACGTTCAAAATAAAAACAAAAATCCAACAAAAAAAAACGATAAAATAAAATTTTGTCTAAATATAAATCAAAATATGTACCAATACTACGAGGGTAGTCTGAATGTATGACTGTAGGGGGGCCACAAGAGAACATAGTCTTAGAGGATGGGAGCGTGATAAAAAACTGTGACAAATACAAAAATCTTGGATTAAAAATAACTAACGATGGAAAACTCGATGAGGGTATAAAATATCGAATAATGCAAGGCAGGAGGGCAATATCTATATTGAATGGTGTACTGTGGGATCAAGGAATCTCTAAAGCTTATAAGAAGAACATATACAGGGTGTTTCAAAACAAATGCGAAAAACTTTAGGGGGTGATTCCTTGTTCAAAATAAAGGGTAGTTTGCTTTATAAACGTTGGGTCAAAACTCAACCATTAGGGAGATTCGCGGTACAAAGATGGCGGAAAAATAATGTTTTTATTTTTTATCTTGAAAACGAAAAGAGATAGACTAATGAAATTTTATGGAAGCATTACTGTTATGAAAACACCCTTTCATGTAATTTTTTTACTTTTTTAAAATGAGTGGAAGGGGTTGAAATAAACTACCCCTATCATTCTTGTTAACGAAGTTTAAAGAAAATTCTTATCAAACACATGCAAATACTTTAATTTGGATAGTTTAGTTTGTTTAGAAACTTTTTTACCTCTTGTGTTTTTTTGATAAAACTCACCGATTGGAAATTAAAAAATAAAATGTAAAGCATTACATGTCTGGACAAAAAATATTTTTAGATTAAGAATCTAGTGATAATAATGATAATAATAATCATCTAGATAATAACGTATTGCAGTAGAGTAATGTCAAATAAAATAATATTAGGAAAATCCTAAAAAGTAACAGCGACCGATTTTTTCCTAAAAAAATTACAGCAGCCCACTAGATTCTTTATCAGAAAATGTTTTTTGTCTGACATGTAATGCTTTACATTTTATTTTTTAATTTCAAATCGGTGAGTTTTATCAAAAAAAACACAAGAGATAAAAAGTTTCTAAACAAACTAAACTATCCAAATTCATTTTTTGCATGTGTTTGATAAGATTTTTTCTTTAAATTTCGTTAACAAGAATGATAGGGGTAGTTTATTTCAACCCCTTCCACTCATTTTAAAAAAGTGAAAAAATTACCAGAAAGTGTGTTTTCATAACAGTAATGCTTCCATAAAATTTTATTAGTCTATCTCTTTTCGTTTTCAAGATAAAAAATAAAAACATTATTTTTCCGCCATCTTTGTACCGCAAGAAATACCTGATGATCTCTGGCTAAATAGAGAAGAGTGGAGGTTAGGTGTCGGAAAACGTCGTAGAACGTTCTGAACCGACTTATATTTATATACCACCCAAAATACACACTTTTATGCAAATGCCTAATAATGTTAACACTTAAATTTATTTCAAAAGAGAAAAAATTTTGAACCTCACCAACAATTCGTATTTATAGTGGTTTACAGTAATTTTGTTAAATTATACAAATATTCTCGTTGATTACTAAGCTGGCAACTGAGCTAGATGCTTTACCTAGACCATTATTCAGAAGCTACAAACCTATCGATGAAAATATGCATGGAAATTTACTGGAGTTTCTTAGCTTTAAATTTTGAGAAGTATTGAATTTTTTCTGTATTTTTGTTCCTCTAAATTTAATCTACTATGATGCCATATTATCAAGATATGTTTTTAAGGGAAAATTGACTCACTCTGTATAAAAAAAAGAAACATTTTCAGAAAAAAAATGCGTATCATTGCGAGGGCAGAAACTCTTCAGACCACCCTCGTATCTATCAAATAAAAAAATACAGGCAAATAAAATAAACTGCACTAACAAAAAAAACTGACAAAATATACATATATACTCTAAAAGAAAGTTAAAAAATACATATTATGTACTTTTACCTGACTTTATTTTATCTGGATTGGTCCCACTAAGATATACATTTAATTTATGGAAAAAAATCTGGATTTTTCGGCGATTTACTTACCTGGAAATCGGTCCCCATACCCAGATCAGGGTTCCAGAGGTTCTCTTCGCGGAACAGAGAGCTGGACAGTTCCATGGACAGACGTTTCTTGTACTCCTGAGGCTTATCCTCGGACATACGGAACAAAACTGCAGCCGCGTAAGTAGCCACGCCTAAAATTAAAAAGATATATTTTTTTCAATCACAAAACGTCACAAAAATTAATACTTTTGTGACGTGATCCTAAGCACAAAATGGTAAATAGAAAAGATGTCTCTTTTAACCAGATCTACCACCCCTTAGAATACTTGCACTTATTTCTGGGACACCCTGTCTAAGGTAATCTCTAGAATAAAAATAAGATATAGTCTATAAAATTAATCCCTCTGTCAAAAAGTTACTGATATTCTTTAAATTGAGTGCCTGAATGAATCAGATAGGTAAGTCTTTTTACTTTCGTGAAATAGAAAAGGAAAATAATAAAACAAGTGACAGTTCTTCCCCTTCTTGCAAAAATCAACACGAAATGTCATAATTGTCAAAAGTAAAATGTCATCAGCTTTTGACACTTCTAAATATCAGACCACTGCCGTCTCTAATAGTACAGCCTCGGAGCGAGATTTATGACGTCACGCTAGTTAGATACTACGGGTTAATAAATATGTTGTAGAATACATGGAAAACATAATTATTCCTCGTATTTTTGGTTATATTAAAACGTTTTTTTTTGTTTCTTGTAAAAAAACTCCAATGGCATAAATCATTTTCCCGAACCTAAATCCCAAAATAAAAATTTTAGAATAATTTTACATATAAAATGACAGCGATCTTTATTCGCAGCCATCGCTGACGCCTCTATGATCTTTTATTATTTGCAAATATAATTTTCGAACATTGATACTTGCAAAATATACATATAAATACATAAATAAAAACTTTTTTTTTTTATTAAAATCTGAATATTTTTGTTAAATTAGATCGATTTTCAAACCCCAAAATTAAAAATATATTTTACATCTTACCCATTATCTTATCTACCTATTCATTATTTGTATATTGTAAAACATTTGCTGCATTTGTATGGTTCATATTTTATTTGCCAAAGTATTTATTACTATAATATCATTTTTAAAATAGAAACCAAAAATACGGGGAATAATTATGTTTTCCGTATATTCTACAACATATTTATTAATCCGTAGTATCTAACTAGCGTGACATCATAATTCTCGCTCCGAGGCTGTTCTAACAAGGGCATTCAGCATATTTTCTGATTCTTCTTCTGAATAAAGACTAAGGAAGGGCATATCAAAATCTTAGATTTTCTGGTGAACTCAAATATTGACAATTAGTTATCGGTTAAAAAATGTAAAAACTATGATGTAGGGTAGACGTGTGGTAGACTCAATATATGTTGTTTTGACTGACATTCTTGAATATCGGTAGTTATTAAAATTGTTGCAAAATATATAATTCTAATAAAAATTTATTAACACAAACATCCGATACTACTGAAGTAAATTCTTTGACATCTAATCTTTGACAAGTAGTAAATAAAAGCATCTTATCTCTATTGGAACAATTAAATTGAATTTCATAAATGATCGGTTTTACTACACGTATGCATATTATATAGTCACTTACTAGCGAAAAGTTGTTCCATATTTCACTCGATTTTTTGCCCACAGGATCTACAATAATATTTTAGTCTTTTTCAATAAATCGCGATAGGTCACTGTTAATTTAAGTTCTGCCACAATTTCCATCTAGATTTACTACCTTGCCACAATTTCCATCTAGATTTACTACCTTTATACAACTATCAGTAGTAGAATAAATAATAAATAACATAAAAATAAGCTCAATAAGATGACAATCATAAAATTTCAAATCAAATTCAAACAAATATTATTCAAATGAATCATTCAAACAGAACTGTCAAGGATCCCCACCATAGAGTGCTTTTTCCGCCCACCATGCATGAACACATTGGACAGCATTATGCTCTTCATAGTCTTTATAAATTTTAAACTAATAAAATTAACACTAGAAAAGTCCGCGGAAACTGTCAAATTCAAATTATTCGTTTCACAGACTATAAAAAAAGTTCTGGAAATGTATTAATTGTATCATTAGACTTATATTCTATGGTCTATATTTTTTTATAAAAAAAATTGACACCCTAACGGTATGCTTATAATTCCATTTCAAGACAAGAAAAAATTGTGATTCTCTGGTTATCTTTCGAAAAAAGATAAAAATGAGCGGTTTTCGATCGTGATTTTACTTTAGAGAAAGACATAGCGGAGAAATGTGGCAACGCTGCAATAGCACACCGTCGCATTTCTATTACTGCGACTTAATAAGATACTTATTGCGATTTACTTCCACTCATGTAAATGCCGGCCCAAAAGTAACGGTTGCCTTTATATTCCGCACCCACTGTTCTTGTTACCAGTGCAACAATTTCCGTCCAAAGGGCGGTGGCCCTAAGCAAATCATAAACCAGCACCGCTATGAAGCGGCTGGGTTCACTTTAACACGCCCGCCGCCACGCGCTGGATGTTCTCGATGTCGTTGAAGAGCAGCTGCACGAAGATGGGGATGACGCGCTGTTGCCGGATCTGTTCGCGGTTGTTCCACTCGCGGGCTAGGATGTGGAGAGCGCCAACGGTGCCCTCTATGATCTCCTCCATTCGGACACCGTCGGCGTATGTACCTGGGGGTTGGCTGCCACCGCTGGCTAAGCTGGCTCGCTGAAAAAACCGAGTTTATTTTCAAATTTTCTGTGGCATTTGCCGTACAGTGTGAACAAATCAATGTATACTCTGTTTTTTTTTCTCAGGTAAGATTTCGACAGACGATGACAGAAAAAAAGCAGATGACGTCCCATACCAATCTATTTATTTTACTAAAGATTTCTAATTTTTTAAAAGTTCTATGGATGGGTTTAAATAAATACGTCATGCGTGTCTGTTGTTTTTAACCAGTTTTGGTTTATTTCAAAATGACAGATCGTATTTCAATTTATTGGTTTGACGGAGACGATGAACGACAAACGGACGCCGATGCGTATAAACTCGCCTTTAGATTTTTGACGCTTGTCAAAGTCTTGCCAAATTAGATGTTATAATTTTGTGTCAACTTTTGTCAAATACCCTGCGTTTTGGAAGATGATGCATTTTGATTCGTGTTATTAGGTGTGTTTTGTGTCTTTTGAAGTCAAGTGGAAATTAACTGTAGACCCAGAGCACAGTTTATGGTTAATACCTTAGATTAACAATAAGGAAAAAAGAAGAATCAGTTACATAAATACACAATAAAAAAAAAAAAAATTATATAAACAGTTATCATTCTGTCCTCCTTTCACAATACTGCGAAATAGGACTAGTAGTTTTCAAAGGAACGCTGGTCAAGAAAGATTCCTCTTTGGATATCTTTGAGGCATAAACATGAAGTCAGAAGCAATTTCCTCACAAAATAAATCACTGGTAACATATCCATCGTTCCGTCAGCAGATTCTGCTTTATTTTTGACAAAATAATGAATACTTGCTTAAACTATTGTAGGTAGAGTCAGTTAACTTGTATAAATTGTGTCTCATAAACAATATTAGTTTTGCAATAAGTTCTTCTTTTCTCAATGAGGTGCCATGGCGACACAAGCCATCTAGATTGCCATTTTATTTAAAAATGGCTTTTTTATTATATACCTAAAAAAACTGCAAGAAATTTAAAAATAAAAAAAAAGTTTGAAAGAGCATTTTGAATCTGCTTGATTTATTTTAAAAAATACAGAGATTAATTTGTATTTGAAATAACAAAGTTTTTATATAAAATAAATCAACAAATAGATCAAGCAATTTTCAATTTTACTCCTGTATAAATTTAGGAAGTTATAACATTTTCAGTAAAGTTTCTTTCTCTACCTTTAAACTCAACACATGGATAAATGAAAGTAATAATGGGGTATTAATAATCTATTCTTGGCATGCATATTTTAAACTCTTTAAATATCTCCAAAAACCAAGATTTTAAACATATTTAACCCTTATAATAAATGCCTTTTTTTGGGCCCAAGAATCCAAAAATTAAATAAAATACCGGGTGCTCCATAAGAAAAAATATAACTTTGGTATGGATCTTAGTTCTGAAACACCCCGTATATTTCAAAGTAATTTTAAATTGTGCACATTGCCTCCCCACATATACCCCTAAAATATTTTGTTTCTGCATCTTTCCGTTTTCCTATAATCAAACGAGGCGAATGAGGTGCGCCTGATAAAAAAGATTTATATACGGGTTATATAAATCATTTTTGATTTTTAAAATATTATTCGCAAACTGGGGAGAGGGAAATCAGACAACGAACAGAGATGATAGTTGTTAGGTAATAGCTCCTAGACTACCGTTTATGGTGTTATTTTACCAATGATGTTATTTTGGTTTGTAAGTTTTTGTTACTATGAAAATTTCACACCTCTACTTTTCAACCAATAACATGCTTTAATGTTGACTAGTTACCATGGCAACTGAAAAAATTTCCGGAAATTTTTTCGAGGCGCCACGAAACTTTAGTGGAAATTTTTTGACAGTTGAAAGGGTAAACATAAGATCTACAATCATAATGTAATGAACTACAACCTCTCTCTCTTAAATATACCCATTTGAGTTTTAGCATTTGATGTAACTAAGGTTGGTAATATTTTTTATTTAAGAGGAAATATGTTAGATATACCTACATATGAATTTCTACGAAATTGCCATGTTCTAAAAATATAGTTCTACCGCCTTTATTTAACTAAAGCAGGTATTTTTCTATTTAACGAAATATGATGATCATGATTTTAATGATTTTCGGGTATCTGGTTTCATTTTCAATTTCTTCTTTATTGACTTGTTGGTTTGCCACCAAATGTTACTATACCCTTTCTTACTCTACGTAGAGACGTTTTAAAACTAGTTATAGCTTAATGACAGAATCGCAAACAAAATGACCAAAACACATATGTCAAAAACATCAATACCTTGGCCAACAACAAGTGAAGTATTTAAAATGTCATGTTGGATTAATATTTTTTCAATTTGGGAATTTTCTTCACCGAATACCACGAAAGCTTAAATTATTCCTGGAAATTTTCTTTCGGGAACGAATATTTTAGGAAAATTATCCCTCGTCTTCGACTCGGGATAATTTTCAAAATATTCGTGCCCTCAAAAAAATTTCCGAAAATAATTTAAGCTCTTGTGATATTATAAGTGACAATTCCAGGCAGAGTACGGTACTCACAACCTTTAATTTACATAACCTATTCTCCTCAAATTTCCCTAATATAACAAACTGTTATTGTAAAAATACTACTACTTACTCTTTGGGTATCTTGGTAAGCCCTCATCAGCAACTGCACCAAATAATTGATGGCGCACGATTCACGAAGAGGCAAGAAATTGTCAGGACATAAAGCTAGGTTCCTGATCAGTCCAATGACTGCCTTGACCAAAGGCCAGCGAGACGGGGGGTTCAGCAATCTTACGATTACGGGAATACCACCAACCGCTACTGTAAAAAAATTAAGTTGATAAAAAAAACAACCAAAAAAAAAAAAATGGTAAAATAAAGGTTGACAATTGTAACATTGCAAACTGTAAAGAAGTTATAACTAAGTTATATGCTAAGGGATAGGATGGAAAACATGTAGGCGGACAAGCCAGTGAAGTTAAGGGCTCGAACACACTGGCGACCAGGTCGCACCGGCCAAGCCGCTGCTACCTCTAATACCATTAAATCAAATGATAGAGCGCACACTAACGTCCTGGCCGTCCGTTGGTCGTTGCGACCAGTAGACTGCACGGAAATATTATTATTTTCTGCCGCTTGTTGCCGGTTTCTATAAGATATAGTGTTTTAGTGTAGTTTTTGCACACATGCAGAAAATCAAAAGAAATAGTATACAGACTGGATCAAAGGGAAATTTAAATCTAGTCCTTTTTTATCAAGGGTCAATTCTAAAATTTTATATGACATACTCTATTTATGGTTGGTATGATACCTGTTTACCTTCGAGTTTCGATGTTAAAAATAAAAAAAATGCATTTTTTTTTTTTTTTTTTTTTTTTTTTTTTTTTTATTAATTAGTTTTTGGTTATGAAACATTGTAGTCGTATTGCAAGGAGGGACAACTGCTTGTCTTCTCTTCATTTAACTTTTTTCAAACAGGGTCCATAAGACTATATTTCTATTTTAAAAAGATTAAAATAAAAATAAACTTAAACATTCATAAAAATAGAAGTAAATTTACTGTTGTAGATTCTCAGTAACAATAAAAGAATTTATATTGAAAGTAACTGGAAGCTAAAACTTTCTACCTGCTTATATTTAGAGCCAGTGCCTGACGACCTTTTTTTTACGATGGTCTGTATGTTTCTAAAGGAATGATAAAGCCGTAAAGCTAAAGTCCATATCAGTAGAAAAAAGAAACAGAATATCTCTCTTTTTTCGGTCGCGCGTACACAATGCTTTTTGTTCGGTCTATTTGTTCTGCTTGTTCGTGCGCGCGCTCGATTCGTTCGGGCTAAAATGCTCAAGTCTGGACGCACCTTTAGGAAGAATACTGTTTTTGTCCTTTATTGATATAATGCTGAAAATCTCACGAGTTACATGACTCACTCTACACATATTAAACTACATAGACGTAGGATGTAGAATATTCTGTTATGAAACGACTGATGGAATAGCAGGCATCGCGGATTTGAAAAACAAGGAAATAACGACGTTATCGTGTAGTCGGGGTTGGAGATTTTACTTACTCCATTTACCACACCAGTATTTATTAACAAAAAATCCAAGAATATTTTAAATTCATTATTTAATACTAGAACATTTAATAAGCTCATGAATAGCAACTTCGCTTTTTAGTTAACTCGGATATTTTAACATTTCTGAAACAATATTTTCTAATTGGTAAAACGTAAAAACTCTGTTGAAACTGGTCGTTCATCACCCTAAAGCTCCGCGCGCACTGAATAGGTATCGGCGAGAGCGAGCGGCGCGACCGACACGACCGGTCGGAAAGTCGATTGTAGCCGCGCACTGGAGCCGCACGATCGGCGGTCGAGAGTACGTCACCAGCATAAATTTGAGCAGAGACGAGGAGAGGTTTATTCAAATTTAGTCAAATTCATTCGGCATTTCAAAAAAATATAAAGTATTATTACTATTTATACTTTTATGTAACTTTTTATATTTTATACTTTATGATGGAAATTAATATTATTTAGATCTTAACCAAACACACATTAATATATTTAGATCTTAACAAACCACATAAAATTAGTGAAATACAGTGGAAGATGGGGATAAAATATACTACATGACTCTTAGCTTGGCCGATTTTAACAAAAAGTAATAATACAAAAAATTCCATACTTATGTGGAGAACTTTAGACTCCCTGTATATTAAAAAATTAGTGAAATATTACGTAATCTAACCCGACATTTGTGTGAAAAATGTCTATTTGGAAATAAAACAGGTTTTAAAATACGCGCCAAATAAAGCACTTCTATCACCGCCATATTGGAAAAGGTTGAATTGCCTTGTGTGGAGGTGGTGGTGGGTCAGCATGGTGGCCCGGCCGCGGCCGTGTTGTCGCTTTTCAACATGCCAGGTGTGACGTATTAAAAATAAAGTGAGGATTTTTATTCTGGGCTTTTTTGTTTTTATTTATTTTCTTAAGCACGACTTCAAATTTTTCGAAAGTGAGATAGCAAAAAATTCTAGAATTAATTGCTTTATTCAATTATGCTAACTCCAAAATATAGCGAAAGAGCCCATTGCTGGCATTTCCTAGTGAATGTTAACAATCACTGAATTTCCCACTTTCACTGTAACATATATATAAATCCTTATTTATTTTTAATATATTATTCGCAAACTGGGAGAGGGAAATCAGACAACGAACTGAGATGATAGGTGTTAGGTAATAGCTCCTAGACTACCGTTTAAGACACAATGATGTTATTTTGGTTTGTAAGTTTTTGTTACTATTTATGTCTGTTCCCAGAATCCCTGACTAGTCAGCACGTTTCTCATTGGTTAAAATGCGTAGAAACCTGATTGTTAGTCAGGTTTTTACGCATTTCAACTAATAAGAAACGCGCTGACTAGTCAGAGATTCTTCTGGGAACAGACCTTATGACTATTCCAGGCAGAGAACGGCACTCCTTTCATTTCATTTAATAGAATTAGTAGGACTACTTACAAATTTAACCTTTGATTTAAATAACCTATTTTCCTCAAATTTCCCTAATATTGTTTCTGTCGAGCGCATCCAAGCCAGAATAAAAACTATTTAATTCAAACTGTTATTGTAAAAATACTACTACTTACTCTTTGGGTATCTTGGTAAGCCCTCATCAGCAACTGCACCAAATAATTGATGGCGCACGATTCACGAAGAGGCAAGAAATTGTCAGGACATAAAGCTAGGTTTCTGATCAGTCCAATGACTGCCTTGACCAAAGGCCAGCGAGACGGAGGGTTCAGCAATCTTACGATTACGGGAATACCACCAACAACTCTGTAAAAAATTTAATAGATTGTTTAAGCATTTATAAAACACCAATCAGCAAAAAGTGGCAAAATAAAGGTTGACAATTTTAACATTGCAAACTGTAAAGACAGTTCTATACTAAGGGGCAGGATGGAAAATATGTTGGCGGACAAGCCAGTGAAGTTAAGACACAGAAAACTGTTGTGTCGTTAAATAAACGTATTGGAATAACTTCAAAAAATGTCACAAATGATGGAGTAACAAAAAATATAATGTCATTTATCTAGAGAATAAGATATGAGGAATATTTTAATCACCTACCTGACTTGATTTTGTGCGAGTTCTGATTTATCGTGTCTCGATGTCAAATGTCTGAGAGCGCATATGGCGGGTTCTGTGATTTCTTCGTGATCTCCAGCGTTCACGATGGTCCTCACCAACGCGGAAATGCCATCATACTGACAAACAGTCTCTTTGTTAAACTGATTGTTACAAGTCAGATTCGATAAGATTCCTGCAAATTAACATCAAAAAGCTGGTTAAATATTATTCAAAATCCGGTGTCATTCCAAGAACGGTAAACCAAAAGGATTGCTCATCCTCATAAGATGTACGTTCTCCTCTTCCCGCGCTTCAGCTGACAGTTGTGACGTCATTGTAGTCCTTGTCATGATAGTGTGTATTATTAGTTGCCGATGATAAACTTATAAAAATAACAGCTGAGAAATTTTGAGTTAATTATTTTGTCAATTTTAAATGTGAAAAGGGGTTTTTTAAAGTTTTTAGAGCTATAGAGTGTATAAATACGTTCATTTTGTGTTGTGGATTGTGACAAAGTGCTTATTAAGTGCCTACGATATTGTTTATTAATTGTTTTAAAGCAAAATATGGAAGTACTCTAAAAAGAATGCCCGCAAAAGGTGAAGCTCGGAACTGCTGTTCTTAAAAATGCTTTATCCGAATATTTAATATGATTTATAGAGTTAATTTTCTATACTGCATACATATAAGGTGTTTAAATAATAAACTAAATAATGAACGTTTTGCATCCGGCAACCAATAATGCACGTGTGTGTATTATTGGTTGCCGGATAAGAACTAATAACCATGACAAGGACTACAATGACGTCAAAAAGCGAGGAGTTTTCCCATGCACTTGGCACACTTTTGGCTGAATGAGCAGTCCTATTAGGTTAACTGTTCTTGGTGTCATTCTACTAAAAATGTTGCCTGATAACTATAGAACACTGTACTATAACCAAGATTAAAAAAAAAGGTTTTTGATTAAGTTTTTAAAAACATGTTTTTTTCTTGTGTTTTAAAACAGTTTTCAAAGACGGGTTTATATTTAAAACTGTAATGAAGTTCATAAAAATTTCTAGGACACCCTGTATATTGTGTTAATATTATACTAGAATAATAGGGACTTTATTTTCTTTTAATAATGACAGTCAATGTATTTTATTGTTAACTCATTATTGTAATGAACTTCATTAGTGTTTCTATTGTTGAATTAAATAAGTTAAATATTTAATTGCCATTTTGTAAGAGAGTTTTGATCGGTTTTGGTCGCTGTGGTTCGGTGCGAGAAACCGAGACGTTTGCGCCGCTCTCCCTACCAGTGCAGGTTGAGTGGAGGGGAGCGTCAGTCGAGTACCTCGGCTGCAGCAGCACTAGTTAGTTAGTTAGTGGTCGCACGTGAACCAGTGAGGTTCGAGTCCAGAGTGCCCTGCCAAGTGCCCTGCTGCCAGCCGCCTGCCGCCGTACTGTATAAGGTAAGCACCCACCGCCAACGTGATCAAGAGTAGGTCGTATTCTTTTTATTGTTAATACCGTTTACTGCCTTGACGCGTTACAGGGATAAGGGAGACAGAGATAGTTATATTCGCTCAGGTAGACCAACCGGCCTCTAGTAAGGTGGGGGGATATTTGAACGGAACGCGCGACCACAGAAAGTTAGGAAAATGTGTATTCGCTCAGGTAGACCAACTGTCCTCTAGTAAGGTGGGGGCCTGGTTGACCGAATCACGTGGACGCGAGGCATGATTTCTTTTGTTAGAGAAAGGAAGGAGAGTGAGACAGATAACGGGCAAGGTGGTACAGTAAACACACGGGTCGCGAATGTTCACGGAACTAAAACAGGACTTCGCCCTAATCCCGAGGCTGGTTTTGTAGCTCCCGTATTTTTCTAGGTGTGTCGTCCGGACGACACCCTGCATCAGTGACGCTAAACGGGATCTCGCCGAAATCCCGAGCTGATCGGGCGCTGTGTGTGCGGGCTGCGCTTATCCAACCGACGTACAACTCGCCGAGATGTCGCTAACGTCGTGATCGATCCAGGGCTCGCGTGTGTGTATATCCCACAGGACGCTGTTAGTTTCGCGATCGATCCAGGGCTCGCGTTTGTGTATCCCTCGGGACGCTGTTAATTTCGCGATCGATCCAGGGCTCGCGTTTGTGTATCCCTCGGGACGCTGTTAATTTCGCGATCTATCCAGGGCTCGCGTGTGTGTATATCCCACAGGACGCTGTTAGTTTCGCGATCGATCCAGGGCTCGCGTGTGTGTATATCCCACAGGACGCTGTTAGTTTCGCGATCAATCCAGGACTCGCGTTTGGGTACCACGGGACGCTTTTAACGTCGACGCCGATCCGAGGTTCGTGTTACGTTGTCAAAACGGACGCCGTTCCAAGAAATGTTTAGCTGCGACCATCGGGACGCCTGTAACGACGTCGCCGCCGTTTAGAGAATCGCGTCATAGTAGAGTATGTTGCTCCGGTGCTTACGTGTCCGTGTTCAGTAGGACGCCGCTAAATTCAACGTCGATCAGGAACTCGCGTCATCTTATTTAATAGGGCGTCATTTCGCGTTTTGAATTCGCGTGATAGAATCAGTCAGAGAGTTGCATCTCGGGAATAATCGATCAAAACTCTAGAGGTACACGGTTGTTAGTGTAAATTTTGTTCTGCAAGGTACCAAATATTTATTTTATTTTTATTATTGTAAAGTTTACTTTACGGGTCTTTAAATATACATTTTATTTCACTGTTGTTACGATTCGAGGACGTGAACCTTCCTGGATTCTTTTTGTACATAATTAATTAGTTAAATAAAAGCCTAGTGTTACGTTATAGTTAATTGTGTGTTTTATTTTCTTTTCATCTCATCACTCCCTGGTATCTCCACTGTATAAAAGCTACCCGTATTGGCACTAGTGTTTTCTCAAACACTTTAAATATTGGGATGGCGCCCGAGGAACCGAACCAAGGCAACTCGGCGTCAGTGACCTTTCTCTAAAACGGGGGAGACTCACAAAACTTTATTAAAAATTCCAGTTACCAAAAAACATTTTTAGTTGACTGACAACAAAATAATATCTCAATGACATTTACCTGCAGCACAAGTGACTACATTGCCATCTGGCGACGACAAGACTTGTACCAAGGATGACAGAAGAGTGTCCAGTCCGTTGACTTTTGTAGCAGCGTCAGACAAATTCCTTAAAGTCCACAGGCAGTTTTGGACCAATCTCTGACTTCCACTGCCCAAGTGCATGGCTAGAGCTTGCATACCGCCCGCTTCGACTATAGCTGGTTTGTTGCTAGAGCAAACTGACAAAACCTGGACAAAACAAAATGTCAACTTATCAAACCTGGTCCCTGATACAGGAGAATAGAAAAACGAGAAACCCCAGAAAACACACAAAAATGGGACACCCTGTACATTATGTAAAAAATTAAAATAAATTTCCAAGTAATTTAAAAATATACCTTCAAAACTCTTGAGGTGGTCCACAACAGCTTCTCGTAATTGTAAGACCTCATTATCCTGACCAGCTCAATGGGTCCTTGGGAAGCCAGAATAATCAGCTTGCTTTCCTGATTGCCAAAAGCCAAAATTTGCAAACAGTCGGTGACAATAGCCAAAAACTTGGTGTTGTTCCTCTGTAACAAGGCCACCATCTTCTGTAACCCTCCAGCCAGACGCACAGCCATCTTCGAACCTTCCTGGTGCAACAAGAGGTTATGTAATGTGGTTATCGCATAGAACAACACGCTTTCCACGGGTGAACTTAGTAATTTCACCAAGGCGGGTATACCACCACTTTTGAATATAGCCAGCAACCCTTGTCTGTGATGGGACAACTTGTGCAAGGTACCAACAGCACCCTTCGTGGTCTCCAAGTCATTTGAATTGGATATAGCTCTAACCAAAGCTGCTACCATTTGGGGACTGTTCATTATAGCGTGCCTAGAAGCCTCCTTTTTGGACAATTGGTGGACCATCATGGCCGCTTGGGATACCACCACTTGGTCTTCGTCATTTAGGAGTTTGATCAACTCAGGGATAGCTCTGGTGGCTAGTTCGGCATCGTCTTGGTAGTTAATTAGGTTGACCACGGCATGTCTCAGCATTTGGCTGGGTTCTGCCAATCGTTGGACTGCTGTTTGGGTCTGAGGGTCGAATTGGGTTGATGGAATTTCGATACCTAATATATAGGGAATAAAAAAGAACCAATAATAAGGCCTGTTCTGTAGAACATCAGAGCTATGGCAATTACAATATACAGGGTTGCCCGAACTGTATTCCATAAATGTACTTCGGCAGCATATACTGCCGATAAAAATAAGTTTGTATAAATGTATGTCCAAAAATGCTTAGTTTTGGAGATACAGGGTGTAGAAGTTTCATTTTTATTTTGATTTTGATGTCAATACGACTCCTACTTGTAGAGGGCACCACCTACATATTTTTAACTGGTTTGACGAGTAATAACTTTTCGTCCCCTGTATTTCCGAAACCAAGCATTTTAGGACATACATTTATATGAACTTTTTTACCTATTTTTATCTACAGAATATGCTGCCGAAGTTTCCGGAATACAGTTCGGACCACCCTGTATATTATAACAAAAAAATGCTGTATATTATTTCCCATATACATATTATTTATAACTAGTTTTATACTTAAAAAACCCATCTCTTACCTTCTTCCAGCGTTTCCGGGAACATGGCAGCCCTCACCCTGTGCGACCTGGTCTGCGTCAGCTGGCTGTTCATCTCGTCGACCTGATCCTGGGTAAAACCCGGGTAACCTCCTTGGTCCAGGTCGAAGAGGTCCTCGGAAAGGTCTTCCTTGCCGCTGAGCGAGGGTACCTGGGTTTGGGCGCCAGAGTGGATACCCGAATCACCCATGTAGTTGTTCTGTTGCCAGGACATGACCGCTGGGTCTTTGGAGTTGGACTTGGGCATGTCGGAGGCGTTTTGATATGACACTAGAAGAAAATAATGGATATTATATGGTGAAAGCTCTCCTTGTTGATAGCTTTAATAAGCGATTATCTCTCATATAATGTGCGTCTACTGGATCTGTGTCTATGAAACGAATTTCAAGAATAAAGACACAATATTGGAGTATGATCAATATTCTACAAAACATATTTAAATAAACAGCAATGTATTTTATATTGTAACGCAACGTAATAATAAAATATTATTTTATTAATGCATTACGGCGACGGTGCTGTTCGCCTGGAGAGCATTATAGGGTAAGGTTTGTGCTCAAATGAGCGCCACTGAATCTACCTAATAGTTAAATAACATTAAAGATTCAGAAAACTGTTATTAGGAAAAGATATTTGCCAAGATGGAACCTCATTCATGCAATAAAACAAATAAGTTTCTACTCTACTAAATCTAAATATATTAATTAAAATTAACGTTTGGTTATAAAATACGTTTGTTTTATAACAACCAAAAAAAAAACAACGAAATAGGTTTACATTTTGAAAATGAGGTTAAAATGTTATTTAAATTTGTAATTAAAGTATATAATTAAATTAAAAAGTATATAATTAAGTGAAATATTACAGATGTTGAAAACTACTTATAAAAAAAATAATAAAATTAAATCAGGCTTTACCATCTATATCTTTTTATAGTGTACCCCAAAATAAAAGTATACAAGCCTGGGTAACTTATCCAACAGCAGCAGTTGATGAGTTGGAAAACAGGGTGGATGTCTCGACACCATGTGATCACGTGCACGTGAATGTAAAAAATAAAACCGTCCAAAGCAAGAAAGGAAAACCAGGAAAAGTAAAAACCAGAAAGAAATAACCAAGACCCTGTGGACAATATTTAAATTAATATTTGTAGACTTTAGGTTATGATACCTTACTCCAAAGCGTAACTAACAAGTCATCCAGCTACCATCGACAATTAAAAAAGTTAGTGGATCCATTCCAAAATTGTCCAAATCTAATGAAAATTATTAAAAATCTTAATTGAAAAAGGCAAAAAACGTGAATAAGTTAACTTACCCAATATCTGGCCACATGGCACATCAAAAAACTAATCTATTTTGGTTCAGGCAAATTCTTATAAAAATTTACAAAATTATTCAACAGCATCCAAAAATTAAAGTGGTAATCCCCACAGGAACCAACAGTACAGGATTTCACCAAAAAAAATACGATCTCCTCCCGATCGCCACGCCAATATGGCGATTGGAGGGAAAAGAACAATCAGGTGGATGACACTTCTTATGGGAGAACCCAGAGAGAACTGGCCTGAACTGGCAATGATTCAAAACTTGACTATAAGCGATTTTCTAGGAATCTCCCTTACCGATAAATTATTGACAAGAGTGACAGATAAAACCTTGACGTTCTTTCACTTAGACAATTCTTTCAGTATTACAGTTCATCTCTAACTAAACTCTAAACTCTTCGGACTAACGTGTAGGTGTTGATAAATATTTTTTTTTCATTTTAACATGCTCATTATTATTCTCCTGATTTAGGTGACAGAAAAGGATCATCAAATCAAATTGGCAATGGCAAAAACACTAATTTTTAATCAAGGAGCCTTGGAAAAATAGTTTTAATCGTCTAATGTTTTTCGTATCTTGTCCTGGCTAGTTAAAAGATACCTAAATCATATTTTTAATCATATCTCAATTTTTTCAAACGGAACAAGGGTGGCTCGTTAGCATATTTGGAAAAAGCGTTTTTTTTTATTAATAATTTGGTACCACATACTTCGTATTTCGAGTCAAGTTGTCGTTATGAACCGCATGTTACAATTTCAAATAAACCATATGCGAAAATGTCAAAAGTTGACATATGAAAAGTCATTCTATTCAGAGTTATTTTCTATTGAATAAAGTAAAAAAAAATAGCGAGGGTGCCATTTAACAATCAAAATATGTGGGTAGTCATTTCCGGTGAAACAGGAAGTGACCAAAAACAATTGAATGCGTCAATCAATCCTAATTTATGTCATATAGTATCATACTAAATCTCGTTTTTTTTATCTAAAGTAGTAAAAAAGTTATAAGGGTGAGCCACTTTTGAGACGCACCCGGTATACACGTGGGAAAGAGTCCAAGTGGACTTAACGCAAAGTAGTATGTCAGTGCAAAACACCTCATTACATTGGCCGCTTGCAAATTTGTCGAATTTTTATTGACGGGATGCATCGCCTAATTTTTTAACGAGAACGGTAGTAGACCGAGCTTGGAGAACAGTACAGTCGTTATCGGTAAAATAGTTGCATGGTTTTATTAGTTTTTTATTGTTTTTCTTCTTAATTTTTATAAAGATTATATCTCATTTATGCAGAAAAATGTTGAGGAAATAAAACTGATTGAAAATGCGAAGAAAAACAAAAAAGAGCCATTAAAACACACTTCCACGAGTTTTAATTGCTATAGCAATATTATGACAACTTCAACCTTATATCAGAAGAAAATCATATAAAACAAATTTGTTGACAACGACGCAAATTGTATGCGAAGGCCGTCGATCGACTGTCAATAGTGTCAATCGAAAAAGTCAATGGCTGCCTGGCTTGGGATGTTGTAAGTACATAATTTATTTTAATTTTTATCCTTATAAAGTTTTATTAAATTTTTGTGCTTAAATTAGTTCAAAACACGTCTATATAAGGTAAGAAAGTGCTAATATCTGATGTTTTTACTGAATCTGTATAGAAAAATTTACATATTTAAACAGTCCATAATAGTGACTGTACCCACCCTATAAAAACACATGAAAATGGGACACCCTGTACACTTAATCCAATTCTGAATTAGACAATAAAAAGACTCTGTAAATAGCCCCGTTTGTTTATTATAGACAAGTTATGGTATTTTTATAGAGTATTATTATTTATCAATGACATTCATTCTCTTACTCGTAAATAGTAAATATAAAAATTTTGACTTACTTGATCGGCTTTGGTAACTCATATCGGGTGTTTGTCACACCTAGAAAAAATACAAGAGAAATTCCTTAATTCTGAGAAACTTTTATTAGTCATCTAGGTAGATGTTTGGATAATCTTTTGGGTGACAAATCGATTACAAAATTCTCTACCTAACCCGGAAATAACAGTTAATTTTCTTAATTTAAAAGGTAGACGGAAACATGCCGGCCACAACAAACACAGATATTACAATTACACACAAACAAACCACGAAAACGGAATCACAGAAACAAAGAAATAAGGAAACGTCCATTTTGAGAGCGATCTTTCATACACACACTAGATAGTAGACGACAAATCGATGTTGTTTTGAACTAGTTTAACTGATTACAGGCTAAATTTAGACTTTACCTGTCGGATTTTCATGCTAATTTAAAGTAGAGAGCTTGGATATTACCTTTTACCAGAAAATTACCGCACTTTCCTCGGTTTGGGATGGAAATCTGCCACTTTTTTATTTGATTTTTCAGGCAACAACACCGCACCCGTGTACAAACTTTTCAATTTCGGGCTTGCGCGACTTGACAGCGATTTACATTCCTCACAACGTTGCCGGGTTTTGTCAACTAGTCTATTTTAATATTCATTGATTTTTTATTTTTAACTGTAAATTAATATAGATCATCTAAAAATACCGTACAATCGAAAAAAACGGCGCCCAGTTGGCTTGGAAATAATGATCGATGACATTCCTTATATAATTTTCCATATAAAGTGACAGCGATCTTCTTTTCATAGCGATCGCTGACATCTTTTTTTCGATCATAGGATAGCATGAGGATAGCTTAAAAGCATTTTTATCATAAGATATCTAAATCTATGATCTAAATAAATGATTTTTTAGATTTCTTTGAATATCTCCTAAAGTCTTAAGAATAATTTTTCACACTGACAACACCGCAGGCATATTTTAACTTATGCAACCATAAATACCGGTCAGTATCTTGTGTTGCCTAACCTTAACTACGTAATTTAAATGTATTTCACGAAAAAAAACTTGGAAGTTGCGTTTTTTATTCCCTGATGTCCCAAATTAAAGAAAATCTAGAAAAAATATAGATTTTTCTATATTTACCAGTGGTGGTTCGTGGGTATAACATTATGTGAAGAGTTAATTTCTTAAATTGCGCCTCAGGCGAAAGTTTTTTTTGGCGCATTCACCATTTTGTCAACATTTTTTTTTGTTATTATTTATACACTAATATCTATAATATTTTCGTTTTAGTTTGGGCTAAAACACATTAAGTAAAAAGAGATACAACCAGTTTTCGATAAACACATTATTTTGCATTTCAGTGAAAATATAATTAAATGTAAATTAAATATAATCAACATTATATACAGTGTCCCCCATAAAGTTGGATCCATATGGACGTTTTTTTTATATTAGAGTTTTAAAAAATCTTTTTGTGGCAATCACTTTTGCTTTGAAAACAACTTAAAATGCTCCAAGTCAAAGTTGACATCTAACATCTGGGAGCTGTCAAATACAAAATATTTAAAAGAAATTTTTAACAATTGGTTAAATTAGTATATTATTTTAAAAAAGGTGACTAACAAAATTATGTTTCACCTTTGACTTGGTGCATTTTAAGTTGTTTTTAAAGCAGAATTGATTGCCACAAAAAGTTTGTTTAAACTCTAATACCAAAAAAAAACGTCCATATGTTTCCAACTTTATGGTGAACACTGTATTTATTGTAGGGCTTCCCCGAAAAACGTTGTAACCGACATTTTTTTCAAAATAGAGAATTCAGTGAAATAAGGTTGTAATTTCCATAGGTACAACGTTTTTTCCTCGTTTTTTTTCACTGAAATTTCGATACTGAAAAAATTGTTAGTTACAACCGAGGAGCCATTCAATTATTATTCAATTATTACATTAATTATTATTACATTAATGTTTACTAAGCAATATTAACCAAAATAAATTTGACTTATTTATATTACTAACCTTACTGATTTTTGTAAATCAGCTCAATTTTTTATGTTTCAAATTGTACACCAAGTCATTGATTGGGTTCATTTTTTAACACATACACACACACAAAACAGTTTTAAAACACAACAACAAAACAAACAGCAAAAATCAACAAGTTAAATCAACAAAAACCATTAACAAACAACAATAAATAATCAACAACAACTTTACAGTCTTTACACGGTTAATTACTCGCATTGGCGTAACTACAGGGCTTCCCGGGGGTGCCCCCCCCATGTTCTACTGGGCACCCCCCAGAGAAATCATGAATTATGACTCTTGGCTACGTATTAATTTTTATTTGCTTGTGATGCAGTCAAAATTACTTTTTCTAGTTTTGTTTAGTTAACATTATTTAGTTGTGTTCAAAAAATGTGTTAATTTTTATTTTTTTAGAAAATTTGTAGGTATTTAAGTAATCTACGGGAACAGGGTTTGATAACCAAGTCTATGAAATTTATTGATAGAGAAATTCATGTAAACGTTTTATTCAAAAAATGTGTTTTTTTCATTAAAAAAAACAAAAGCCCTAGGCCCCCCTGGACTCAACACCAGGCTCCCCTCCCAGGCCCACCCCAGGATAAATTTCTAGTTACGTTAATGATTACTCGCCGAAGTAGCCGAATATTAGCATAAAGGAAGACGAAGCGAACTGCCCCAAAACTCATTCACATCGGTCGCCGATAAAAAATTTCGGGGCGGGGAATTTACATGCTATCGCTAGACTGACGTCACGTTACCGTGGAAACCGTGCAGCCGCTCGGCTCACAAATATTTTCACTTCACTTGTGGCTAGAGATGGGCGGTTATTGGTAAAAAACCGGTTATAGGTTAACCGGAATTATCTTTAAAAAATAATAACTTGAAAAAATTAACCGACACAAATTAACCGGTTATTCAAATAACCTAACCTAGCAAAACTAAATATTTAGTTTTCCTATAGGTTTACTTACCTCTACACTCCATAGGTCTACTTCAAATTTAGATAATAAACTTAGTTAAATCGCATGATTAAATAGAGATTGTAGCAATGTAAGTATGTATATATACAAAATGAATTTAAATAAAAATGCTAACCTCAATTTTTTGAGTAGAGATGGATATGATATTAAAACTAGTAATTACTTAACGTTCAAATAAACCACACAACTCACAAGTTCTACAATCTACAACCAAGTTATTTTAATCAAATACCAAAGAAAAATAAGGAGACTGAATGAATAGATAATGAAAGATTATCTTCATTCATTACTTGAACTTTAATTTTGTATTCTTTAGTCTAAGCTTCAAGAGAGACTTCAAACTACAAATAAAATATATTTACGGTGAAACGTGGGTGAAACTGGGCGAAACCATGGAAGACTTTTGAAGAACCGTTGAAAATCCGTTAAAGTCGGTTAAAATTTAAATATAGAATTTAGAGAATCTATTTGAAGTTAGGTTCGTATCACTTGGCTAGCTGGTGGCTAGTAGTAGTCTATGCCATTAGTACTTTGTTTTACGGCCTGACCTGTCAGGGCCATTCGGCCGTTGTTTTGATTATTATCATCAGGGTTCGCCTGATGCCTGATTTAATTTTGACATTTGATGTTTAATGTCATATATTTTCGTTTTTGGGAGCGGGAGCGGGATCTCCCGTTATCGTCATAATATCTGGAAGATCCGTGCCGTTCGCTTCTTCGAAATTTACCATTCAAACAGCTAATATTTAATTGTTACTTGTTTTAAACAAGTACGATTTTTTAAAAAAATAACCGGCTATAGGTTATTGAACGTAATGCAAGGTTATTAGGTTAACTAGTGAAAAAAAAAACTACCTTTAAATAACCGGTTATTTTAGAGGAAAATACCGGTTATTCAAAAAAACGGTTACTTTTGCCCATCTCTACTTGTGGCTTCGTGGAAACGTAGGCGCGGGCGGGCCAATAATGCTACTTTTTCGGCCGGAATTAACGATGCGATGGACCTATTATGCAGAGGTCCGCCCGGAAAAAAAAATAATTTATAAAAAATTACCATTTTATTATTTAGATACATGTAAATATATTAAACTAAATTAATATTTTATGCAGTAAAGTTTTTTCTTTAATTTGAGTATTTTTTTTCGGTGAGGTGCCCGTTCGAACCGCCACACAGTGCTTTGTCCCATGGACAAAAATCGAAAAAAAAGTTAAAATTTACTAATATCTGAATATGTAATTTTATACTTATAGCAATGTTCAACCATCCTGTATATTATTTTTCATAAACAGCGTTTTTTTGTTAGCAAATATTTTTACTAAAAATAAATTTTGCGATCATTATCTTATATCAATGAAAAGAATAACATTCATAGTAGTTCTGTATATGGAGTTAAACGTAAACGAGTTAGTACGTATTTAATTAAAAGCCACTATGGATATTGTTAAACAAGGTATGTACTTTAAATTTATTTCTAAACAAGTTCGTGATTGTTTAGTTTTTATTTATTTTTTAAGATGATTCTTAAATGGGTATAAAAATTTTACGTTTTCAAACTTCAAAAGGACATTTAAAAAAACATATCAAAACATATCGTATTTATTGAATATTTTTGTTGTCATATTCATACACTTTTAATTTTTGTATAGTTCACCTGCGTCTGCTTGCGACGAACTTTATTTTATAATACTTTTCAGATGGAGTAAAATTGATAAGCAATGCCGATCTGGTTTATACTTGGCTTGATCATAAGGACAAGAACTCAAAATTATTTGTATTTCAAAAAATGTGTTCTTTATTAGATATTGATGAACCTTCCTGTCAAATGAGACCATTTGTGCCTGAAAAAGCCCACTATTTTGGAGCGAAACGTGGCATAAAAAAGTTTCCATCTTTCAGTTCATTATAAAACCTCATACCCAAGAAAACGAAAAAATAATATATTGATATGGTCTATTAAAGAGGTAACTATTAACATCCGAACCCCTCATACCAACAAAAAGAACAGTAACAAGGCGAAAAAGTAACATATTAGAAAATGATATACAGAAATATCTTATATGTGAGGATATTTCATCTACCTGTGATTTGGATACTATAAATTTGGAAGATTCTGTCAGTAGTGATTCTTCTGAATCAGAGTAGTTACGATCTATGCATTTTGTTGTCCTAAAGTAAATTTATAGTATCTTAAGTTTTTTTTTAATTAAATATAGCATTAATGTTTCTTTTTCATTAAAGAAAAACATTTTTATCTTATATTGGTTTATATTGTAGGAATCATGTTCTAATGTTATTCCAATTCTTTTTATCACAGGGATTTATTCAATACTTACACCGTTTTCATACTATAAATTATTATTTCCTTTAGATGGAACACAGGTCCCACATTTTTATTATTTATAAGATTTTATTTTCATAAACGTGGGACTAAGAACATCATCATTTAGTACAATGAGAGTACTCATCATTTGTGTCAAATAAACCTAGTTTGAATAAATTGCCTACAATAAAAGAGAAGTTTTGCAATTTTGTCCTCTAGAGCCATATGTTCGAAGCACTGTGCGTCCGTCCGTCCGTC